TCTAGAGGAAAGTATATAGCAATAAGTGCCCACATGAGAAGAATGGAGAGATCCAAAATTGACACCCTATCGTCAAAATTGAAAGAGCTAGAGAAGCAAGACCAAAAAAACTCAAAACCCAGCAGAAGACAAGAAATAACTAAGATCAGAGCTGAACTGAAGGAGATTGAGACACGAAAAACCCTTCAAAAAATCAATAAATCCAAGAGCTGTTTTTTTGAAAAGATCAACAAAATAGAGAGACCACTAGCCAGATTGATTAAAAAGAAAAGAGAGAACAACCAAATAGATGCAATAAAAAATGATAAAGGGGAAATCATCACAGATTCCACAGAAATTCAAACCATCATCAGAGAATATTACAAACAACTCTATGCACATAACCTAATAAACCTGGAAGAAATGGATAAATTCCTGGACTCCTGTGTCCTCCCCAGCCTAAACCAGGAGGAAGCTGAAACTATGAATAGACCAATAACAAGGTCAGAAGTCGAGGCAGCAATTAAGAGCCTACCACACAAAAAAAGCCCAGGTCCAGACGGGTTCACAGCCAAATTCTACCAGACACACAAAGAGGAGCTGGTACCATTTCTTCTGAAACTATTTCAAATAATCCAAAAAGAAGGAATCCTTCCCAAATCATTTTATGAGACCAATATCATCCTGATACCAAAACCCGGCAGAGACCCAACAAGAAAAGAAAACTTCAGGCCAATATCCATGATGAACATAGATGCAAAAATCTTCAATAAAATATTGGCAAGCCGATTGCAACAGCAAATCAAAAAACTTATTCATCATGATCAAGGAGGATTCATCCCGGGGATGCAAGGCTGGTTCAGCATATGCAAGTCTATAAACATAATTCACCACATAAACAGAACCAAAAACAAAAACCACATGATTATCTCAATTGATGCAGAGAAGGTATTTGACAAAATTCAACAGCCCTTAATGCTAAAAACCCTCAATAAACTCGGTATCGATGGAACGTATCTCAAAGTAATAAAAGCTATTTATGACAAACCAACAGCCAATATCATACTGAATGGGCAAAAACTGGAAGCATTCCCTTTGAAATCCGGCACTAGACAAGGATGCCCTCTGTCACCACTCCTATTCAATATAGTACTGGAAGTTCTAGCCACAGCAATCAGGCAAGAAAAAGAAATAAAGGGTATTCAAATAGGAAAGGTGGAAGCCAAATTGTCTCTATTTGCAGACGACATGATAGTCTACCTAGAAGACTCCATCACCTAAGCCCCAAAACTCCTGAAACTGATAAGCAACTTCAGCAAAGTCTCAGGATATAAAATCAATGTGCAAAAATCACAAGCCTTCCTCTACACCAATAACAGACTTAAAGAGAGCCAAATCAAGAACAAACTGCCATTCACAATTGCTACAAAAAGAATAAAATACCTTGGAATACAACTCACAAGGAACGTAAGGGACCTCTTCAAGGAAAACTACAAACCACTGCTCAACGAAATCAGAGAGGACACAAACAGATGGAGAAACATTCCATGTTCATGGTTAGGAAGAATTAATATCGTGAAAATGGCTATACTGCCCAAAGTAATTTACAGAATCAATGCTATCCCCATCAAGCTACCATTGACTTTCTTCACAGAACTGGAAAAAACCACCATGAACTTCATATGGAACCAAAAGAGAGCCCACATAGCCAAGTCAATTCTAAGCAAAAAGAACACAGCGGGGGGCATCACACTACCGGATTTTAAACTATACTACAAGGCTACAGTAATCAAAACAGCATGGTACTGGTACCAAAACAGAGATATAGACCAATGGAACAGAACAGAGGCATCAGAGGCAACACAACATATCTACAACCATACAATCTTTGATAAACCCAACAAAAACAAGCAATGGGGAAAGGATTCCCTGTTCAACAAATGGTGCTGGGAAAACTGGCTAGCCATGTGCAGAAAGCAGAAACTGGAGCCCTTCCTGACACCTTACACCAAAATTAACTCCAGATGGATTAAAGACTTAAACATAAGACCCGGCACGACAAAAACCCTAGAAGGAAATCTAGGCAAAACCATCCAGGACATAGGAGTAGGCAAGGACTTCAAGAACAAAACACCAAAAGCATTGGCAACAAAAGCCAAAATAGACAAATGGGGCCTAATGAAACTCCACAGCTTCTGCACAGCAAAAGAAACAGTCTCTAGAGTGAATCGGCAACCAACAGAATGGGAAAAAATTTTTGCAGTTTACCCATCTGACAAAGGGCTGATATCCAGAATTTACAAAGAACTCAAACAGATTTACAGGAAAAAAACAAGCCCATTCAAAAGTGGGCAAAGATATGAACAGACACTTTACAAAAGAAGACATATATGAGGCCAACAATCATATGAAAAAATGCTCATCGTCACTGGTCATCAGAGAGATGCAAATCAAAACCACATTGAGATACCATCTCACGCCAGTTAGAATGGCGATCATTAAAAAATCTGGAGACAACAGATGCTGGAGAGGATGTGGAGAAAAAGGAACACTTTTACACTGTTGGTGGGAGTGTAAATTAGTTCAACCATTGTGGAAGACAGTGTGGCGATTCCTCAAGGCCTTAGAAATAGAAATTCCATTTGACCCAGCAATCCCATTACTGGGTATATATCCAAAGGACTATAAATCGTTCTACTATAAGGACACATGCACACGAATGTTCATTGCAGCACTGTTTACAATAGCAAAGACCTGGAATCAACCCAAATGCCCATTGATGATAGACTGGATTGGGAAAATGTGGCACATATACACCATGGAATATTATGCAGCAATCAGAAATGATGAGTTTGTGTCGTTTGTAGGGACATGGATGAATCTGGAGAACGTCATTCTCAGCAAACTGACACAAGAACAGAAAATGAAACACCGCATATTCTCACTCATAGGCGGGTGATGAAAAATAAAAACACATGGACACAGGGAGGGGAGTACTAAACACTGGGGTCTATTGGGGGAAAAGGGGAGGGCCAGTGGGAGGGGGAGGTGGGGAGGGATAGCCTGGGGAGAAATGCCAAATGCGGGTGAAGGGGAGAAAGCAAACAAAACACACTGCCATGTGTGTACCTATGCAACTGTATTGCATGCTCTGCACATGTACCCCAAAACCTAAAATGCAATAAAAAATAAAAATAAATAAAAAAAAAAAAGAAACTATAGTGTGTCAGAAAACAGCAGTCCATGTTGAAGATGCTTCTGGCTGCTGCCTGGGCAGTCATGGCTCTCAGTTTTGGATCTTAGAAGTGGAGGTTACCAGATCCCCATGGTAAACCAGCAGTGCTCTCACAACTGCACCGATATAGGATTCTCATGCACCTATACACAGGAAAAGACTCAGCCGAACACAACAGGACACCACTCTGTGAGCAGCTGCTCTTTTTCAAGTTCATAGCTGCCTTGCCTCTGAGACTCTCCGGTAGAAGTCATGACCAGATTCAATTATGATCCTTTAAAGGCCTGGTCTGGTCAGAGGTGCCTAGCAGAACCTATTTGGTGAGATATAGACAAGAGATCTAGGTCATTGACTTTCACTCAAACCTGAGATCCTCAATTCTGAATTTATAAATGGCCAAGGGGACTAACCCACAAGGATTTGTCCTGTTGGTTTCATATTCCCCAAGATCTATCATGGACTTTGGTGAGAGTTATCATTGACTGGGGATTCTTGTTAATTTGGAGAGGACCAAGATAATCCTTCCTCTCTAATACTTTCCAGTAGCCCAGCAGGATGGGTAGGAAGAGGGAAGGAGGGAAGAAAGTATTTCTGGAGAGACTTCAGAATAATTGGATCATGGGGACTTAATCCCAGATGTATAAAAAGTTTCTTGACTTTGTACCTTGAATTTCTAAACTTTAAATTACTTCGGGGACTAGAATAATCCCAGTAGCAGGGTGGGATTTAAGTGGCTTTGTATGAGCAACAAATGGTCTTTTGTAGGCCTTACCAAAACACAGAACAAAGACAAGAAAAATTCCACCCATTTCAGGCACTAACTCATCTGACTGCTGCTTTCCGACCAGATTGGCTATTTTTGACTTCTGGACCATTCCCAGATCCCAGAGAAGTGATTTGAATCAACACATTTGTTGTAAAGGTAAGAGAGCACTTTAAAAAGAATATAGAAACTCTTGTGGGCCCAGCTCTATCCCCAGTGGCATACCTGGTGACCAAGTGGCATTGGGGGAATGTTGAATGACATAGAAAAGGATGTCTCTGTGGTCCAACAGTCCAAGAACGAGAAATTCATGAGATCATTTAGTCCCTGGGATTGAATATCTCTGATAATAATCTATTCCAAAGTAATCATCTGGGAAATGAAGTTCCAGAGAAGAAAAGGGACTTCATGATTCCCATGCACTGATTGGTTGGTGAATGCCAGTCCTGTTAGTACATGTTCCAGAAGAGTCTGGCAAGTGAGTGAATGAATTCATAAGTGGACAAATAGCCCAAGGTTCTGTGATCTCGGGAGCGAGCTAGAAAAGAGGAGGCAGAGAGCATCTGAAAGTGCTCACAGGCCAGGTGCCATGGCTCATGCCTGTAATCCCAGCACTTTGGGAGGCCAGGGCAGTAGGATTGCTTGAGCCTGGGGAATTTGAGACTAGCCTGGGCAACAAAGTGAGACTTCATCTCTACAAAAAATTAAAAATTAGCCAGGTATGCTGGCATGTGTATGTGGTCTCAGCTACCTGGGAGACTGAGGCAGGAGGATCGCTTGAGCCCTGGAGGTTGAGGCTGCAATGAGCTATGTCTGCCCTACTGCACACCAGCCAAGGTAATGAAGTGAGACTCTGTCTCAAATAATAATAATAAGTTTTTTAAAGTGCTCACAGGACAGAATGGTCAGGAATTGAGGATGAGGAGCACCAGTTTTTTCTACCAATCCTAGATCCCAAGGGAAAAAATCATACAAATGGAATATAATATTTCTTGCTAAAATTAAACAAAGTGAATCATCCACACATGTAACATGAAGTAAATGTGCGATGTCTGTCTTAAATGTGACGAGAAAATTTAAATCTAATCAGGTGACATTTTAAACCTCTCTATGGAGTGGCCAAATATCACCAAGTAGATTTTGATAAAATTTCCTGCATTTTATTTAGAGCCATATAGACAATGCTTTGAATTGTCAGAGCTGTTCTCCAATTGCTCAGCGAGTCTGGACTTCCTCACTTGCTGTCTGGGCACTTTAGGCATCAGAGAATCATGGAGCTGGCCCTGTGAGTTCATGCAAGTGACACAGAGACACCATGGTCAGTTCCAATGAGACCTCCCCTGTGATAGGGTTCATCCTCCTGGGCCTCTCTGCCCATCCAAAGCTGGAGAAGACATTCTTCGTGCTCATCCTGCTGATGTACCTCGTGATCCTGCTGGGCAACGGGGTCCTCATCCTGGTGACTGTCCTTGACTCCCGCCTGCACACACCCATGTACTTCTTCCTGGGGAACCTCTCCTTCCTGGACATCTGCTACACGACCTCCTCAGTCCCCCTCATCCTTGACAGCTTCCTGACCCCCAGAAAAACCATCTCCTTCTCAGCCTGTGCAGTGCAGATGTTCCTCTCCTTTGCCATGGGGGCCACAGAGTGTGTGCTCCTGAGCGTGATGGCGTTTGATCGCTACGTGGCCATCTGCAACCCCCTTAGGTACCCAGTAGTCATGAGCACAGCTACTTCTGTCCCCATGGCTGTCAGCTCCTGGGTAGCTGGAAGCGTCACTGCCACGGTGCAGACATCCCTTGCAATGAGGCTGCCTTTCTGTGGAGACAACATCATCGACCACTTCACCTGTGAGATTCTGGCTGTCCTGAAGTTGGCCTGTGCTGATATCTCTGTCAATGTGATCAGTATGGGAGTGGCCAATGTGATCTTCCTGGGGGTCCCAGTTCTGTTCATCTCTTTCTCCTATGTCTTCATCATTGCCACCATCCTGAGGATCCCCTCAGCTGAGGGGAGGAGAAAGGCCTTCTCCACCTGCTCTGCCCACCTCACAGTTGTGGTCATCTTCTATGGGACCATCCTTTTCATGTATGGGAAGCCCAAGTCTAAGGATCCACTGGGGGCTGACAAGCAAGACCTTGCAGACAGACTCATCTCCCTCTTCTATGGGGTGGTGACCCCCATGCTCAACCCCATCATCTACAGCCTGAGGAACAAGGATGTTAAGGCTGCTGTGAGGAGCATGGTATTTCAGAAACGTTTCCCCCAGTGATGGTGGAGGGGTCATGATGGCTGGCTGCTTCCTAACTGCTCCCACTGGAGAGTCCCAGAGGACAAGATGAAAGGCCAAGTTGATCAAAGTTTACACAGGTAAATCTCATTACACAGAATCTCTTTACATAGAAGGGCTCTGTAGGAACAGGAAACATTTAATGCAGCTCCACACAAGTATGTTCTGGTTTGTCTAGCTTTGTAGTTCTCATTCTCCATGATGGATACTGAATAAAGTGATGTCAAGGAAAACTAACTCTTCACATTTTTATTGTTGGACTAATGAAAAGCTCTAGTCTGTAGGTCTTGGATTCAATTGCTCCTTGGCTTCTTTCTTTGAACATATTTGAATAGGTCCTTACTTTTATGTTACCTTTCAAGCTCTTCCTACTTCATATTATATAACAGTTAGCTTTATTTTTCTCATTGTTTTTTTTCTCCTTGTCAAATAAATTCTTAAAACTGTTTCCTCAATTTTTCTGTCTCCATATCTTCACAATTAACCTGTAGCTTTGTCTCTGTCTTTTGTGCTCACTCAGAGTCCTCACCAGAAAGTCATTCATGCTCTTGAAGAAGAGAGGGGAGTAAGGAAGTCGTGGCAAAACTGATGCAAGGGTCAAGGGCACAGACCTCTTTTCTTTTCCCTTTTGGAAGATAGTGTTCATCCCTGGGCTCTATCCCAGATGCCAGTGACCTCTCATGAGCCATCAGTGTAATGCGAAAACTGAGATAAGTCCAGGAGGATCAAATAAATGCTATTAACCACCTTCCCTGGCTTAACCATTCCTGAGTTACTTCACTTAGAATAATAGTCTCCAATCTCATCCAGGTAGTTGTGAATGTCATTAATTTGTTCCTTTTTATGGCTGAGTAGTATTCCATTGTATATATATATACCACGGTTTCTTTATCCACTCATTGATTGATGGACATTTGGGTTGATTCCATGATTTTGCAATTGTGAATTGTGCTGCTAGAAACGTATGTGTGCAAGTATCTTTTTTTGTATGACTAAAAGACCTAAAACTCCTGTTTGGTGAAATGTTTCTTTTTTTCTTTTAAAATATTATTTGTTTTCATCTACTCTATTTTCTCCTTATGAATTTCATAATGGATTCCCCTGGTCTATCTTCCATGCCTCTCATCTTCTCTCAAACAATTTAAATCTCCTTGTCTTTTTTTTCCCCTTAAGTCTGGGAGACCAACCTATGTAATGAACTTGCACCTCCTGCACATGTACCCCTGAACTTAAAATAAAAGTTTAAAACAAAAACAAGTTATTTTTAATTTTAAAATTCCTTTTGATATTTGTCTTAAATGCCATCTATTGAGTTGTATTTAATTTGTCTTAAATACTATTTGTATTTGTTTGATAATGGTGAACTTTTTTCTAAGAAAATGTTCTTATCTTCCAGATATCTTTTCTCCTAGCCTCTTTTTTATAGAGAGCTCTTGTTTTACTGATTCAAAAGTCTCTTGAATTCCACTGACAAAACTACAGAGAAATCACATTTGAGTAAGTTTAGGGAATGTAATTACTGCAATGTATTATTCACCAGCTCACTTTCTCTGCCCTAGCTCTTTTCACTTCAGTAGATTTACTCGTGATCTCCAACACTGATAAATCGTGAATATGCCCAAGACTTTACGAGATGCAATGGTAGAATAATTACATTAGAAGTTAAGCTTGGATGCTGAACCTGGCTTTTCCTCAAAAAGGCTGCATTCTCCCAGGCAAGTCCCTTCCTCCCTGACTCACAGTCTCCACAATTGTACAATGATCTCAGATTATTCTCAGCTCTTAAATTATCTGATTCTCATACAATATCAATATTCTCTTCAACCATGGGAGAATCACCAAGAAGCACTGGGAGGGCTAAAGGAAACTGAGCCAGGCAATGTTTTGCTGTAAAACTGTAGCACAGACGACACCTTCCTCCTTAACAGTCTGTGGGGCACTCTTATTTGCATCCTGCACACCTTCCCGCAAGCCTGAGGTCTACCTGTGCCAGCACTATGGCCACCACGGTGCTTACTTGGGCACAGACAAAACTGGCATCTGATGATCTAATTCTCCTTGAAAAAAGCAAAAGGTATTACTTTTGTCATCCAAAGTACTCATCCTCAGGGCATCTGGAGGGAAACCCACAGTCTTTAGTTGAAACTTTAAGATCTTCCAAAATCTTCATAGACCACTAAATTCCTTCTTACATCCTGTCCTCTGATTATACTACCCCAGCCCTTATTATCTACATCAATGACCAGCCCTACATTTTTTAAACACCTTGCCTTTGAGCTGTTTTCTTGAGTTTAGAATGTCCTCCCCTTCTCCATTTATTACCAGTGAAAATGCTATTAAATATCACTTTTTCTGAGAAGACTTCCTTGACTCTAAGTGAGGGTTAATGACTCCTTCCTTTGCTGCCTAAAACATGTTACTTCTAACACAAATGTAGCACTGACCTTACTCAGCCTTATTTGCATTATGGGCATACCAGTCTCCTCCTCTAAACTCCGAACTCCTTAAAGACAGGTTACATGTCTGGTACACATCTATGCAGTCACCCCAATTGCCCACCATAGAGCTCGGCAGAAGTAAGAACTCAACAAATGCTTATTAAAATGAAAGAAAGGTATCTCAGAAATCCCAGTTCTTGCTATATAAGCAAGAGACATAAGGGTAAATTTCTACCAAAAAGAAAAACCACATATAAGAATGTTTATAACAACTTTATTCATAATAGCCAGAAATTGGAAATAACACAGAAGTCTATCAACTGTAGAATGAATACATAAATTATGTTATACTTATTTAATGGGGTGCTGCACTGCAATTAAAGAATGAGCTACTGATTTCTGCAGCAAAACTCGCAGTACATGTGAAAATGTGACACATGCAAATACGTGAATGTATCTCACATGTTATGCTGTATAAAAAGATATACACAAAGGGTTATATACTGTATAAATCCGTTTACATAAAGTTTAAAAAAAACAAAACTAATAGATGTTAACAGAAGTCACAATAGTGGCCTCCCGTAGAAGAGAGGGAAGAGAGGGGAATGTAATTGAGGAGGAAAATAAGAGGGGTTTCTAAGGTACTGGAATATTCTAATTTTTAACCTGGTAAGGGGTACATGGTGTGTATTTTCTTATTTTTCCCTGAATTGTATGCATATGCTTTTTATACTCTTTTGCATATGTAATATATCTTACAAAAAAAATTCAATGCAAGGCATAATGACTTATGACTATGAATGTGGCATGAATATGATTTTAGGACTTTTAGAGCTGGCGTACGAGGCAGACATATCATTTGTGGAAGAGGTGGAAGGGATTGCCCAAGTCTTATTGCTAACACTGGGCAAGTTCCTCTTATATAGCAAGGACATCCATGGAACGAGAGCTCAACACACCACCCCCAGTATTAGAATTAAATGGGAAAGGGAAAACTGGAATGTGATCAAGAAACTGTAGTGTATCGGAAAACAGTGGTCCACGTTGAAGATGCTTCTGGCTGCTGCATGGGCAGTCACAGCTCTCAGTTTTGGATCTTAGAAGTGGAGGTTACCCAATCCCAGTGGTAAACCAGCCATGCTCTTACAAATATGCAAATATAGGATTCTCATGCACACACACACACACACACACACACACAGGAAAAGACTCAGCTGTGCACAAAAGGATGCCCCCTTCTTTGACTGACTGCTCTTTTTGAAGTCCACAGCTGCTGTGCCTCTGAAACTCTCTGGTAGGAGGCATGACCAGGTTTATTTGTGACCCTTTAAAAGGCTGGCCTGGATCGCAGCTGCCTAATAGACCCATTTGGTGGGATACAGACAAGAGATCTTCTAGTTTGCTGGCTTTCATCCAATCCTAAGTCCTGAATTCCGAAATGGTCAAAGGGACCGAGCTACAAGGATTTTTCCAGTGTGGTGGGTTTCACATTCTCCCAGGTCTAGCATGGGCTAGTGAGAGTTCTTATTAACAGGGGTTCATGTTAATCCAGGCAAGGCCAGGATGATCCTTCCTCCCTGATGCTTCCCAACAGTACTGCAGAAGGGTAGGAAGAAAGGGAAGGAGGGAAGAAAGTATTTCTGGAGAGACTTCAGAATAATTGGATCATGGGGGCATAATCCCAGATGTATAAGAAGTTTCTTAACTTCGTGACTTGAATTTGTAAGTTTTAAATCACTTCAGAGACTAGAAAAGACCCCATAACAGAGTGGAATTTAAATTGCTTCATATATGTAATGTGTGATCCTTTGTAGCCTTTACTTAAACACAGAACAAAGACAAGAAATGTGACTTTCACCTATTTCAGGTGCTAACTCTTCTGGCAGACGCTTTCAGACGAGATTGGATATTTATGGCCACTTATCAACGTATGTTGTGATAAAAACAAAGGGGGCAACTTTTTAAAGATTTGTAACTCTTTTTTTGTTCACAACTCCAACTCTTCTTGACTCAGCCCCATCCCTGGCTTCAGATCTAGTGGCACAGGAGGAAGGAAAAGAAAAAAAAAAAAAAAGACTTCTCAGTGCTGTAAAAGGAAGTCCAAGAGAGAAATGTATGAGATCATTTAGTCCCTGGGATGAAATATTCTGTAAAATAATACATTCCAAAGTGAGAAGTATGGAAATTTGGGGCCCAGAGAGGAAAAGGGACTTAACAATTTCCATGCATTGAGTGATTGGTGAATGCCAGTTTCCCGAGTGCCTAAGTCTGATATCTTCCTATAACTCAACATCCCTGAGTGAAGCTGAATCATCATCACATTCATAGGGGCAAACCTAGAGATTTCCCTGCCTGTGTCAATATGAGGAAACACTTTCTGGCAGTCAGAACTGTGCAAAGAGAAAAGATGAACCTGGGCAGGCAATGAGATGCCTTCCCGGGAGATCAAACAGATAATGGGGAGGCAAGTGGGTTACAAGCTGGGATGTAGTCAGAGGGTCAGAGTAAATGACAGAAGTTGCCTTCCCTGCAGGTAAGACATGAGGAGCAACTAGAAATAAATGAAAAGAAACAAAGATAAGCTCTCCTGGGAAAGAGCCAGCTCCAGGAACAGGTGACCAACATACCAGACTTAGCATGGATGAGAGTTGAGAAAAAACATGGCTCCAGGCACACAGAGGGCCAGACTCTCCCAAGCTGGGCTTTGTGGTGTTCTCTCAGGTGAAGCTACAAACTATTATTACCAAGGCAGACCAACCCTAAACTTACAGGAATGGCACCTGTGTTTCCAGGGGAGGGGGGCAGCTTCCCATTTTCATTTCCTCCCATATAGCCCTTCAAGTCATTCCCTGAAAAGTCTTCCTGATCCCATTTACCACCCAAGGCACTGTATATAATTTTTTGGGTCACCCATCTCCCTCCCCAAGCACCTAGGAGCCTTCCACACTCTGATCAGGTTGAAGCCATCTCAGTCCCTTAAAAACACTGTCATGGCTCCACACACTGAGTGCTGCAGAAGAGTTGGCTGATGAATGGACAAATGGTTAAATACTCCTGATTTCAGTGCAAATTGTGAGAGAGAACCAAGGAAGAAGAATAGTTCAGTATGTAAAAGTCACTGGAGCCAAATGTAGTGCCTCATGCCTATAATCCCAGCACTTTGGAAGGCCAAGGCAGGAGGATTGCTTGAGGCCAGGAGTTTAAGACTAGCCTGGGCAACATAGTGAGACCCCATCTCCACAAAAAATAAAAAATTAGCTGGCCACAGTGGCATGTACTTATAGTCCTAGACTTCTGGAAGCTGAAGTGGAAAGATCACTAGAGCTCAGGAGGTCAAGTTTGCAGTAAGCTATTGTCACACCATTCTACTCCATCCTGGATGACAGAGTGAGACCCTGTCTATCAAAAATAAACAAGAAAAAAAAAAAGAAAATCTGAAATTGAATGATAAAAGACAATTGATAGATGCTATTACTTAGAATCATCTGAAAATGATTTTTAAAGGAGTGCTCATGCCTGTAATCCCAGCACTTTGGGAGGCCGAGGCAGGTGGATCACGAGGTCAAGAGATTGAGACCATCCTGGTCAACAAGGTGAAACCCCATCTCTACTAAAAATACAAAAAAATTAGCTGGGCATGGTGGCGTGTGCCTGTAATCCCAGCTACTCAGGAGGCTGAGGCAGGAGAATTGCCTGAACCTGGTAGGTGGAGGTTGCGGTGAGCAGAGATCGCGCCATTGCACTCCAGCCTGGGTAACAAGAGCGAAACTCCGTCTCAAAAA